CCAGGAGGAAGATAAACTAATTCCCATGTATGGTTATTCAATATAGATTCTATTTCACTATTGACTGCCTCTTTCCAAAATAATAATTCCGAAGAAGACATAGCTTCTTTAAATGTTCGAGGCTCATTTTTCAATAAGAAAGTTACAAAATCTGGTCCAAATGAAGTAGACGTTCTTTGACGTTTACTACGTCTTGGATCCTCCTGATTAAATGTACTTTCTTTTGTTTCTTCCCGAGGTCGTTTAGATCCTTCACCAAACGACTCACATTCCTTTTTATACGGATATATATTTTCAAAAAACTCAGCATTATCTGATTCTATAACCGTATTATTATGAATGTCGGGATTTTCTGATTTATGAACCAGAAATCGATATGCTTTACTATTTGTCGCATATCCTATGAAAACACAATCAACGGTTTTCGATCCTATTTTTACTCTTTTGGGTTTAGGAATTTGCACTTTTGCCAAACACCCCCACACTTTAAAATAATTCAAGTTGGGTTTTCTTTCTTTCCATTTTTCATATGGAATGGATTGTGTTTTGCTATGGGGTACTCGATTTAGTGTTCGGTTAGCCGTAAGAACGGCTTCCCCCCACAAGTTTTGTGGCAAACCAGAACTTATCAACAATGTGTTCATCATCTCTTTTAATGAACGATTCTTTCTTTTCGCAATCCCATTGGATTGGGGCGTGTAAGGGGCAGTTGTTTGATGAATTATTCCATATTCTAGACATATTTCTTCAAAAAGAGATTCATATTCGCCACCCCTATCACTTCTTATCATTTTAATTTTCTTATTAAGTTGCATTTCAACTTCATTTTTGTATTGCCCGAATGCATCTATTGCTTCATCTTTACTATTAAGTAAGTAAACATAGCAATATTGAGTACTGTCGTCAATAAAAGTTATGAAATACTTCTTTCCACCACGAGATGGTATTGACTTCTTGTCACAAATATCTATGTGAATTAAGTCTAAAGGATTTGAATTCCTTTCAACTCACTTATAAGGATGTTTAACATACTTAGATTCCATACATATTTGACATTTTGATTTGTCGCATTCGAACGTAGGCAATACTTCCAAATTAATCATTTTTCTCAAGGTTTTGTAATTGACATGACCCAAATGTATATGCCATAATTCATTTGACTCAAGTAAGTAAGAAGAAGCTGAAATTTTATTATTATTCTCAATAACCATTACATTCAGCTTGAAAAGGCCCTCAGTGAGGTAACCTTTTCCTACAAACATTTCATTCTTACTTATTACAACCTTATCGGATACAAAAACACACTTAAACCCATTCTTAATAAGAAGTCCAGCAGAGACTAAGTTCTTTCTAATCTCGGGAACATGAAGGACGTTGTTCAAGGTCACCACCTTACCAGAAGTCATTTTCATAAATATCTTTCCAGATCCTTCAATTTTTGCCATTGCAGAATTTTCCATAGAAAGCGTCTCTTCGGGTCCAACAAGAGCATATGTAGCAAATGCTTCTCTAACAGCACAAACATGGCGAGTGGCTCCAGAATCAATCCACCACTCCTTAGGATTTCCTACCAGATTGCATTCAGAAAGCATAGCACACAAGTCATTGATATCTTCGTGCTTTTCAACCATGTTTGCTTGACCCTTTTTCTTGTCTTTCTTTGGAGCACGACAATCTGCAGATCTGTGTCCAGCTTTTCCACAGTTGTAGCAATTTCCGTTGAACCGCTTCTTGCTTGGGTTACTTTTCGGTCCATTAGCCTTCTTCCTCTTTCTATCCTCAACAATGTTTGCTCTCATTATTGTTGAGTTTTCACGTCCTTTCTTTTTAGCAGCTTTATTGTCCTCTTTGATTCTCAACAGAATAATGAGATCTTCAAGGGACATCTCCTTTCGTTTGTGTTTCAAGTAGTTTTTGAAGTCCTTCCACAAAGGAGGCAACTTTTCAATCATTGCTGCAACTTGGAACGCTTCATTGATGACAAGACCTTCAGTGAAAATTCTGTTAGTAGAAATAATATAATTAATACTTTCAACAGTAGTATTAATTTGACTTATACCTTCAGCAAGGAGATCGTGAATAATCACTTGCAATTCTTGGACTTGGGTAATAACAGACTTGCTATCTACTATTTTATAGTCCAAAAATTTAGCGGCAACGAATTTCTTTAACCCGGCATCTTCTGTTTTGTATTTCCTTTCAAGCGTTATCCACAGTTGTTTTGACGTCTCCATATTACTATAGACGTTATACAGATTGTCCTCTAGTCCACTAAGAATGTAATTCTTGCATAGAAAATCAGAATGCTTCCACGACTCAGTCACGAGAAAGCGTTCATTTTCTGGAGTTTCGTCGGGCAGAACAAGAACATCTTCCTTAATGAACTTCTGCAGACTTAAAGTCGTCAAGTAGAAGAACATCTTCTGCTGCCAGCGCTTGAAGTCAATCCCGAAAATTTTTTCAGGTTTTTCTGCCGGTGCCAATGCCGGTGTTGTTCAGCTTGTCGATGCATTGGCAGTTACCATAGGAACAGTCTGGTTCCCGTTGTCATTCGTCATTTCTGTAAAAGAATGACACAAACAAACGTTAAAATTCCGTAGATTTTAATCTCCACTTGAGTAGAAACCACACAGGTTTTAGCCTTCAGAAACAGTGAATATAACACAAATACAGAAAATATTAAATTCCTTAAGCTTGTTATTTAGCTATATTTGTAAAATAATTATGGAGAAGATAAAATAACATAAATATAAAAGAAACAGAATTTAATCCGAGCCCACTGAATTCACAGTATTTTCTTAAGGAATTTAATCCCCTCCTAGTACCCAAGGTTGTGGATTGTTTTCTCCCAGGATAGAACGAATTGCACACTGTTGTAGCGATACTTCAAACACCAATGTTTCAGCAAACACAAAGATCGGTAGCAAATCACACTTACTGATGCTTTGATTGTAGTTAAAATAATACAGAAGAAAGGAGGAGAAGTCAGAAATTCGTATGGAAAATCTGAGAGAATGGACTGGTATTTATAGCCAATGTTGAGCTCAAACTGAAGAGATGCAACTCTTCAAATCTGAAGAGGTGCAAACTGTTCTTCAACTCTTCAGATTTGAAGAGGTACAAATTGTTCTTCAAATCTGAAGAGGTGCAAACTGTTTTGTAAATGTCTTTTACAAAAAGCGAAAGGCATATACTATTACGTTTGGATTTAATATTAATATTCTGTTTACAAATAAATTTGGTCCAAAAAATTAATCCGAAGCCGAGCGACGACAACGGCGCGAGGCTTGCCTTTTTCTTAACTCTTTAAGAGCTAGAAGAAGTGCAATTGTATATATACCCATCAAACTCTTTTCCTCTTCCAATATGGGATAATATCCCTTTGTCAAGGAGGGAAACTCAAATATTTTCAATTTCCCTCCATTTCCCATTTTCCCTCTTTTAAGCTATATTTAAGCTTAAAAACCCAACCGGACTAACCAACAAATCACATATGATCTAGCAGTCTAGTTAGTACTGGTCCAGTGAGAGTCTCCTGCTTAACAATTGTGGTTTCAGTTATTATTGTTTCTCTTCTTCAATTCCATTCATCTTCCCCATCACTTATATATGAAAAATAATAAGAGAAGTGGATAAAGATAAATTAATAGTATAACTGTTTTCAGGTAAATTCTGCTAGGATTCTTCAAATGATATTTCCTAGTATCATCCCTATGATTTATAGTTTAAATTAGAATAATAAAAAGTATTAATGTAAGTAAGAATCTACCTGATGCGGTGAGTAGTAGTCTTTCTTTCGTAATACCTAAATAGAGTTCTATCTCTAGCCTTCAGGATATATAACAAACGCCGGTGAGGACTTACGGATCATATTGGTGCCAAATGCTCAAGAAAAGATAATTATATTTAAACAACAAACATTAGAGATTAAAGAAAAACTAATTTGAGTTTCGACAAACATTAAAGATGTATGAAAAGCTAATCGAAATGGGACGTACTGCTGGACATTCTTAATCCTACTAGTCCCATTATTACATTAATTTATGACATTTGTCCTTGGACTTGGTATAGATCGCTCTCAAATATGAGTTAATTTGACAGAAGAATTTGGACCTTGGTGTGCCCCCTCTTTTTTCCTACATTTCTCCTAATTTGACATTTTTATTTTGTGCTTCAACAACTTCATTCTGCTTGCTTTCTTTATGTTTTGGGTTTGTCTCAAAACTATGCTCTTTCAGCCGGTTTAGTATAATAATTTCAAATCAATGCAAGCCATAGCAAGTGTTTGGGAAGTCGGCCAACTGTGTGTTTTCAACTTATTGTTTAAGTGTTCGAATTTGATGTACATATCCTACGTATATCTCATCCTCAATTCATATATGCAAATTGTTATTGCAATGTCTGTGGACTACTAAACATTTCATCATTTCATGAATTTACTCCTTGTTAGAGTTCTCTGATACATTGGAAGATGAAGTAATTAAACACACTAGAACTCGTCTCACAAATATTACTGCTTTTTGCTTTCAGTTCATGACACAGTTGTTATCCGGAGCCAAAAGAGAAGGGAAGTCTTAGTTTTGATGGCGTCTGAAGGGGACATATTCAGCCTCTCTGGTCCATTATTCCTCACTGCTATCGATTGGTAAGGGCATCTATTAAGCTTAGCTTTGAGATGGTTCAAGATGTTAATATGAGATTCTTTTCAAAAAAACAAAAAAAAAAGGCTATAATTCTTCAAATTTGGAATAGATCTATATATGAACTCTTCCTTTGGTACCACTTTCAAAGGATGGATTAATTTGAGTTCTAGGCCGCATTAGACATTCTGTAAATTAGGATAAATTAGAAATTTATCTTTTGTTAAAGTTACATGTAGTTGACTTTAAAATTTAAAGTCAAGTTTTCATCATTTTCACAGGAGAAATACAGATCATAGGAGGTGTGTAGCAGTCAGTTTAGTGCAGTGTGTGTACATTCTTGAACTCGACCGCCAGTAAAATCGTCTACGTCCTAAAGCCCTAGCTCCACCCTGGTGGGAATACTTCCATTTTCGTTTAATCCAAGTCTTGGTAGACAGTGAAACCAATCTTACTTTGGCGCCATTTTCGAATACACATTTCCAAATTCCCATTTCAACTACTCCTGTGAATCAGAATCAGAACCAGAATCAGAATCCGTCAAAATATGTGATCGCCTTTCGAGACACAATTGCGCAAAAAGATAGCAGATCACAGGACTACAAATTGGACCTTCGAGTCATTCGCAATAGTCTTCACACTAGCTCCCGTTTCCATATTGCCGTTCAAGCTGTACAAAGCATTGTTCACAATTACGGCCCCTCAGATATTTGGCTAGCTGGTCATTCATTAGGTTCTGCAATTGCATTAACAATTGAAAGGGATATGGTAATTAAAATGGGCATTCATCTCGAAACATATTTGTTTAATCCACCATTTGCATCTCTTCCAATAGAGAAAATCAAGAACGAGAAATTGAAGCATGGAATTCGCTTTGCTCATAGTGTAGTCAAAGCTGGACTTGCTGCTGCCGTCAAAAGTCAGAGGCCAGAGTCTCCACATAAAAGTGATCACTTTACTATATTATCTGAATGGGTTCCTTATTTGTTTGTAAATCCATCAGATCCTATTTGCTCGGAATATGTTGGATATTTCCAACATCGGGAAAAGATGGTTGCCATTGGCGCTGAGGAAATTGAACGAATTGCGACACAGAATTCAATAAGAAGTATTATCTCGACTGCTATAGGAAACGATTCGGAACCGTCGCACCTACTTCCTTCGGCTTTTGTTACTGTTAATTCGAGTCCTTCTCCAGATTTCAAGCGAGCTCATGGAATCGACCAATGGTGGAAACCTGATTTGCAGTGCAACTTTAAGCTTTACCAGTTTTGATAAGATTTTGTTTACCCGAAAAAATTGGATAGAGTTAAATTTGTGTATGATTCTAAGTATATGTGATATAATTCGATACAAATCATATAGAGAAATAGAAATACGTGTATTCTTGACTATGAGAATGAGAATAGTGAGCAAGAAGAACGAATAAGATAAAGTGAAATAAACATAAGGGGATATCTTTCAATATGAGAAGAAATCTTTTTGTTAAAATGTGTCCCTCTTCCCCGTGCTTACAAGGATTCTCCCATTTATAGTAGATGAGTCTTACTTTATTTATAATAAAAAATATATAGTGGAGAACCCATGATGAATTGTCTCTTTCTCGATTCCTGCCAAGATTCTCTCCCCTAGTGCGGTCGCAATGGCTCCTGTCTGCGAGCTCGATACTTGCTCGAGCTCGGTATTGGGTCGAGCCCTCGGCCTTGGTTCGAGTTCGACATTCGGGGTGAGTGTCAATCGGTCTGTGCATCTCCGACAACCTTCACGTTGCCTTGCGGTTCGATTCGGTCATCGGCTTGATAATGATACCGAGCCGATTCCTCGATCGGTCTTGGAGCTCGAGGCTTGTTTGTACTATCCTCGGAACTCGTCTCGAGCTCTCACTTCGATCGCTTATCATTTGAACTCGATCAAACATACGGAGGTCGAAATCTATTTCGACCATATACAGACAGTCCCCTCGTTTCTCAGGAAGAATGTGGTGAGAAGCGATATGATTCGATCAAATTATAAGCTGACGTTTTCACCGGACTCGATCATGACGTACATGATAGCCGTCCCGTCGATTTAGTCTTTCAAGGTATTTAATGCACGTCAGACGATGGTCGGCCACCGTTGATACTGAACCGCCACGGTATAAACCTATAAATAACCCTTCCATTTATCATTTACCACTTTTACATCTTCAATCTCCCAAATTTTCTTACTCTTTCTGCCTCTATTTCGTCGCTTGTAGAGCCACCTTCATCAGCATTTTGCACCATCAACCTTTCATCTTCCTTTGCTTTTCTTTCTCTTACATCAATGGCAAAAACTTCAAAAACCATACCTCAGAAGGAGAAAGCTTCCTCTTCACGGCCGTCCGGTGACAAGGCGCCAGTGGAGCCGCCTCCTCGCGAGTATGTTCCTGGCCCGTGTACTCTGAAGATCGATTTTAAGGTTGAAAATCCTTCGTCGGTTCTGGGTTGATGTGAGTATGTGTCGATGTACATGTGCTCGATAACAGAGGGCCATCTCGAGGCTTTGAGGAAAGACTGCAACTAGGGTCCCGAGGTTGTGTTGCAAATTCCCTCTCCCGAAGAGAGCGTCATCACTCATGTGGAGGGTTTTTTAAGTGTTTATACTTACCCCTTCACGTTGGGTCCCGTCGACCCAGTGATCATTGATTTTTGCAAAAGATATCAGGTCACCCTCGGTCAAATTTATCCTTCTCTATGGCGCATAGTAACCTTACTTCGCTTCTTCTCCAATAAGTGGGGGGGCTGGATTTCACCCTAAATCACCTCATACGATTGTATCGGCCTCAAATCTTTCGAGCACTAATCAGGCTTCATCGTCGGGCATCGAAAGCTTTAATGTCGAGCATCGACGAAGACAAGGATCGGGGTCGGATGGGCCGTTATATTCGGGTGAGGACCCATGACCTCATCCCGGAAGAGAAGATGTCGTTCCTTGAGGAATGGAATTTCGACCGTAAGTGATTTTCATAAGGCGTTGCTTTTCGTATCTTTCTCTGATTCTATCTGATATCTTTCTCCGACATACAGCTGCCCCTTGGATGCCACAAGTGGTACCTGACCTCGAGGATTGGGTTCGGAAGTTAGCCTCGACTTCCTCTTATGTCGAACGCGCTTGGCGTGATTTGGCAAAAGGTAGATAGGAGGTCAAGAATCACGGTAAGGGTCACTTCTCATATTTTTCGAAATGTTTTTTATGCTCCATTCGTTACAGACTTCCTTTCATGCAGGTGTAACCAAGGATGCCGTTTTGAGGCCTTCGAGTATTGAGGAAGGAACCAAGTCCCCGATCCTAGAACCGGGAAAGATAAAAAGCGAAAAGCTATTTCTTGGTCAGAGGACCACAAGCCCAAAACTCGAAGGGTGAGGAGGAAAGCAATCACTATTTCGACGGACTCGGTCCAACGACTGATAGAAGAAAAAGAAGAAGATGATGCTTCGACTTTGGTGATCCGATCCGTGAAAGCTATCGAGGTCGCCAGACCTTCTAAGCTGATGACGGTTATACCGGTCGGGGTCGGTTCTGATACCTCGAGTCTCGATCATAGCATCCCGAGTGATTCGCTCGGGACTATGATAGTGGGTCATTTGCCTTCTCTTCCGACCTTTTCTGTGGAGGCGTTAAAGAAAGCTCGAGAATTGAAGACCCCCCGATATGGGCGGAGGCTTTAGTGTAGGGGACACTTTTCGGGATTGCTTTACTGGAGTCGATGATGCCTCTAATATTAGTAACGCTTCTCTTCTCCTAGAAGAGGCCCAACGTTTCATTTTTCGGGTAATGATTTTACTGTGCTTGGTTTCTTCATTCTTTTCTAAACTTGACTTGTGTTTTTCCCTACTGTGCAAGCCATTAGCAAGTTTTGAGTCGACCTCAGCCAGTGTGAGGTCGAGCTTCAGAAGGTCTCGGGGAGAGAGATGCTCTGCGGCTTCTTTGAGCCAAAAGGACGAGGTTATAAAGGACCTCCAAGCAGATTTGGCTAAGGCTCGTGAAGAAGAGGCTGAACTAGATAAGCAGGCGAGCCTTGTTCTGTTAGAGTATGGGTTTGACCCAACTGTGGAAGCTAACCCTTCGTTATCTCAGCTGCTGCAAAAGGTTGAAAAGATCGGGTTGCTACGGGGAGAAGTTGATCAAATTAAGGCCGAATGTGACCGGTGGAATGAGACTATCGACCGGCTGGCTATAGAAAAAGAAACCATCTTGGCCAAATTATTATCGGCCGATGTTCAGCTTCGAAGCGTCAAGCAAAAATGTTCGGCTCAGGCCAAGAGGATCGAGGAGCTTGAAACAAGGCTTGCTGAGGCCAGGGCAGAGATTGAGTCATCTAAAGTCATGGCGGACAAGTCCATTGCCGTGTATCGGGCCGATGCCGAGGCTGCTCAAATGGAGGCAAGAGAGGCAGCGGATAATGCCGACACTCGAGCACATTGGGTTGCCGAACTTGCTAAGTGTCGGTCTCGGAGGGAGACCCTCGAGGAGATACACGCTCGAGGTTTCGACCTTGCTGAAGAGATAAAAAGGGCTAAAGAACTTGAAGCTGATGTTGAAGCCTTGGCTTCTGATGGCGATGATGATGATGATGATGACGGTAGCAAGAGCGGGTCCGAAAATGGAGGGGAGCCCGGTAGAGAAGAGACCGCTCTCGATGATAACCTAAAAGTTTAGCCCTTAGCTTTTTCTATGTTGTATTTATTTATGTAAACCATCTTTGTATATCTATACAAATATCTTTTTCTTTTACTGACTTGCTTCATGAAGATTGCATTCATGCCTTGCAGATGTTTTCATGAGGAGTTAGGTGATTTCATCGAATTCGGCCTTCGTAGCCTTTATGGCTAAGTGAGTGTTTGCTCAAGCTCGAAATAAAATTAGCCCCCATGCTTAGTGGTCGAGTGGGTGCTTGCCCGAACTCGAAAAATAAAATTATCCCACAGGCTTAGTAGTCGAGTGAACGTTTGGAACTCAAAGTAAGATAGCCCTTAGGCTTTGATAATTGAGTGCGTGATTGTTTCGAACTCAAACTCAAAGTATATTAGCCCGTAGACTTTTATGATCGAGTGAGTGATTGCTCGAACTCGAAGTAAGATAGCCTTTAGGCTTTAATAATTGAGTGAGTGATTATTTTCGAACTCGAACTCAAAGTATCTTAGACCGTAGGCTTTTTATGATCAAGTGAGTGATTGCTCGAACTTGAAGTAAGATAGCCCTTAGGCTTTAATAATTGAGTGAGTGATTGTTTTTGAACTCGAACTCAAAGTATCTTAGCTCGTAGGCTTTTATGATCGAGTGAGTGATTGCTCGAACTCGAAGTAAGATAGCCCTTAGGCTTTAATAATTGAGTGAGTGATTGTTTTTGAACTCGAACTCAAAGTATCTTAGCTCGTAGGCTTTTATGATCGAGTGAGTGATTGCTCGAACTCGAATTAAGATAGCCCTTAGGCTTTAATAATTGAATGAGTGATTGTTTTCGAATTCGAACTCAAAGTTTCTTAGCCCGTAGGCTTTTTATGATCGAGCGAGTGATTGCTCGAACTCGAAGTAAGATAGCCCTTAGGCTTTAATAATTGAGTGAGTGATTGTTTTCGAACTTGAACTCAAAGTATCTTAGCTCGTAGGTGTAATGAACCAATCGGTCATTTAAATTTTAGAAACCCGTTCCCAAAAATAAAACTCCCCGAACATGCTTTTATTAATTTATGACTCGCGGGGATGGTTGGTTTGGGATTTGGAAGTGTGCGGGTTGAAATCGAAATACTTGGTTCCTTAAGTTAGCTTTAAATGGACAAGTTTGACTTCGGTCAACATTTTGAGAAAACGACCCCAGAATCGAGATTTGACGGTTCTAATAGGTTCGTATGATGATTTTGGACTTGGGCGTATGTCCGAATCGGGTTTTGGATAACCCGGTAGCGTTTTGATACTTAATAGTAAAAATCAACTATTTGAAGGTTTAAAATTCTTTAAATTTGGTTTCGGGTAGGTTTTTGAGTAATTGAAGTCCGTTTGTAATTCTAAGTTTGGGAATAGTTCCGTATAGTGATTTAAGACTTGCACGCAAAATTTCGTGCCATTCCGAGTAGTTTAAGTATATTTCGACGCATTGGAAGTAAATTGAAGAACTTGAAATTCTTAAGTTTGAATCAATTTGGTTTAGGGTATGATTCTTAGATTTGATGTTGTTTTACGCGTTCCGAGAGTTCGAGCGAGTCCGTTTTATGATTTCAAACCTGTTGGTATGTTCGGGCGGGGTCCCGAGTGTTAATCAGACGAGGCTCGGACCAAGTTGGAAGTTGGGAGCCAAAACTGAAGCTCCCAGCTACTGTCAGAATCGCACTTGCGCTTGGCCAGCCGCAGGTGCGACATTCACAGGTGCGGCAGTAGCTCGCAGGAGCGAACCTCGCAGATGCGAGTCCTTGTGCGCAGAAGCGGAAAAA